TGTAAATAAATAAATGTTACAAATTATTCCCCCTTCTAATCAACAGTGTTCTTATTTACCTTATTTATGTAACCATTTCCTGCATAAATATGCTGTAAATAGTAAGATTAAGAGATGATAGACCTGACCTTGGCTGAAAATAAGCCATAATCTTCATGAAATGGTGGTCAGTGCCTGGCTTGAAAGTTTATGAGGTGGCCATATTCCCACAGAGATGCAAAAAGATTTCATTACTACTGTACTTGTAACAACAAGGGAAACCTGCCTAAGGGTGATTATCAGAGACAAAAGTTCAACAGAAACTTTTCACACATACAGAATCCATTAGCAGTTGAGCTGTTTACTCTAACTGGAGTCTATAACTGCGCAACACTTCCTGGAAGTCATGCCACAATTGAGAAACTAAAGATCATCACAGCTCTGATTCATCTTTCATTTTCCAGTTCCTAAGTTGGCAAAGGCAAGAGGATTAAGATATATTAGGCTACCAACGTTTAATTTCAAGCAAGTTTCTCTCCCCAAGTCATGTGCTGTCTGGTCTTCCTCTAGAACAAGTAACACTCTCTTCTGCTAAACCCTCCCCTCACGGTAGAGGGGGCATATTGTGACAGTGTTTGATTTTGTCTTGAGAGTGAGTATGTTAACTTGCCTTATTTAATGTTTAATGTCATTCAGGACTGAGTTTTAATGTTTGGTTTAAACTCTGTCTTAGGAGGAGTTTCCTGTATGGAGAGAATAGTCAGCAAGTGGACACTCACTGAAGGATGCAGGAAATTCAACACAAGTTATCAGCAGGTAAACCATGACAAAAACTGTCATGTGTTTCCACAGTGCTTGCCAACATTACAACTATGACCTACAGAAATATCAATATGAGGTAGCAGATGTTTTCCGTAGCAGCTAACCAAATATCAGTGCATGAACTTCAGTGCAAGAAGTGTTGCATGTGGGTGCCAAGTTTACTACATATGGAGAAAAAATACCCATCTATTCCTGACAAATTCAATGCAATTTACAGCAAACTGAGATTTCTCTTGGCTGATGATGGAACTAGGTACCACAGCTATGAATCAGAATAAAAAATAAATCTAGCGTTCAGTGGTAAAATCTTCAGTTACAGTTTTCTTTGATCACCAGGCCCCATATTCATGGACTTCTGGTTTCCATCAGTGGTAGAATGCCTGTGTACAACTACTGAGATTAAGCAATTAGGAATGTTCAAATATGGACAACAGTGCATTCAATAGGAGAGATGTGAACATCCTCCATACAATCTGAATCCCCCCCCCCTATGATTTTAAAATATTTCAGATTCAGAAGAAGACAAATTCCAGTCAGAAGTTGAAGTGAAGCTGGATGATGTAATTTTACTGACAGACTATGGAATTCTACCAGAAAGGGATCCAATTCATTGGTGACTCAATGAAATGCAATTCTCAACGCAAAAAAAGATGAGTTTATCATACAGACAATCAGCAATCACCCACAGACAGGTTTCTATTGCATCACCCAGTATGAGGCTTAAATTTTACTAACTGTGCATCACTGCTAACATGTGATCTGACTGGCCATATCTTCACAATAAACATACATATTGCTAAACTGTTAACCCCACTATGAAAGTCTGGCAGGCAGCCTGTTAATTCTGGAGTTTAAACCTTGTATACAGGTAAACCTCGATTTACGCCGGGGATGCGTTCCTGGACGAACCGGTGTAAATTGAAACTCTTTTTATAATGTAAATCAATGGGAAGTCAATGACATGCGTTCCCGGCACCCAAACATTGACGACTTAAGTTCCTCAAAAATTGACTTCGCCTTATCTGTGACAGCAATTTCAGTCAAGGGAATGTTTTTTCGATTCATGTCATCCACCCATAGCAACAGTAATTTCTCCTTTCTAAAAGCTTACTTCTGCTATAACTCACTTGCGTTGCACTTACTCTCGTAGCCTGTTGCATTGACTTTTATTTTGTACGAATGTTTCATTATGGTAGTCACAGTGGAAGGAGGCAACTTCATACTTCTACACACATTACGACGGGTATCACCACCTTCTACTCTACGAATTACGTATCTTCTAACGCGTTTGACCTACGCAACTTTTTAGCAACACATTCACTTCTCTTACCAGACATGGTGGCTCTTCCACAATTTATAAATATAAAACAGTTGCTACTGCAGAATAGTGGTCGAGCAACAACACAAACACAGTTTTCAGCACATTCAACAAGAAGCAAACTGAGCACATTTTTCCTTACTCCCTTATCAGGCTGAACACAAATGACTCACCGTGAAGAGTGACCAATGCTCACGTGACTCTTGCTCAATGTTGGCGGATTTTTAGGAGACTATCTCGCAACTACTTCGCAATGAGTGCAGAGGTGACTGTATTTATAATTTTTATTCAAAATTGGCGAAGTAAGAATTACGATTTAGTATAAGAATCAGTATGAGAAACATTGTAAAACGTTATAAATAATATTAAAATATATTTTCTTTTTCACTTTTTGAGTTGCTGGTTTCAAAAGCGGCGTTATTCTGAATTGGCACAAATCAAGGTTTACCTGTACCCATAAAATAAATATTAAATGACAAGTGAGAAGAGACACATCTAGCATCAACTCTTTACTTTGAATTGAACCACCTTAGGCAAAGGATGAAAGAAGAGACAATATTTTTAAAAAATTCCCTCTCCAAAATTCTTATAGTGAAAGCCATAATACACTTACATCTGTGAATATGGCAGAAATGTATGAATAACAGATTATATTATTACAGACAAGTCAGCTGTAAAAATCAGTTCTTGCTTTGCTCCAATTGATAGAGTACAAAGGACTTAAAATGTACACCCCAAGAACATAGAGAGGGTACTAGCATGTCTTTATCAAACACCAATCTGTCTGTTTCTATACAAAGCACTCAATGGGTAATCTGTTTTCAGACAGTTCAAAGGTTTGTGTTACTGCACATTTTGTAACTTAAGGCTTCATGGAAGTACCAATTCTCTCTGCACTACACAAATAATGGATAAAACATGGTATACTGTGTTGCAGTAATGTTTTTCCAATTCACATACTTCATAAATGCATAGACATTCACACTTTCTGTTCCAATCCCCACTGTACTCACAATGCGTGGGGACAGTCAACAGGCGAGTATAATGAAAGTCACACTGCAATACAAACAATTTGCTTACTTTTACTGTTACTATAGAACATGTATTGAAATATTATTATCACTAGTATCACTCCACATTACGGACACAGTCTAGTTATCCATAACTTGCAGGAATGTTTAGAAGTATATAACAGGCTGAAATTTATATCACACAGAATTATCAATACAAAAATATATTTGAAAAAATATAGATTAGACTCTCATCATTCTTATTCAAGTAGACAAACATCATATTGACTCAACTCGCTTATTCTTTTCTACCTCTAAATGCTTATTGCAAAATACAATTTGCGCCCAAACCGAGGAAACATTTTTCTTTTTTGCGGTAGAATAAAATAATGTAGCAAAGATACGTATTTCGCCAAATAATTTTTTTAAGATAGTTGCTAGACACTAACAACATATTTTTCAAGACAATCTAGTACCTCAATGTCCTCTTCAAAAAAATGTTCCATATGATGGTTAGAAACTGACAGCTAAAGTCAATGGGCATGATTTTGTGAAAGGAAGCTAGTTCTAGAAGCAAAATCACTTTATACATACCATAAAGGTGCTCCATTTTTTCCCATGAAAATGTCAAATTGAAGATCAACTAGCAAAATTTATTCCTTAAGTAATCTCTTTAACACAAGGTATGCGGAATGCATCAAAGTGATGCAGTGCCAATGGAAAGATGAGGCAAGAGGGTCACTGCCCAGATATATGAGTAAAAAGACATCAGTATATACCAGTTTAAGTACCACACGAGATACAAGGCAAGTTTGTGTCCTTTGCAAAGAATGCATCATAAATTTCAAAACAGAGACATAATGGCATTACAGTATCGAAACTTGTCTCAATTCATGAGCCTTGTGGCAATCATCAATTTTTGAATAAATTTATTAGAAATTAACTATTACAAATCAAACAGAGAAATTAAAATGTTGAACTCAACTGTGCTTGGCTGTTAACTACACTCTGAAATGGGAATATGTAATACTACTTCTAGATCTATATCTGATCTGAGAGGCTACTCTCCCTCTTTCACCTTCTACCCCAACTGCAGCAACAAATTAGTTAATACTATGGAAATATTCTCAATACCAAAATGGCATATGTCTATTATAAATTTCAGACTTTAGCTTGCAAACCCTGAACAGGAATACCAGCAGGGCGTAATTCTTGAAAATAATACTACCATCAGTAGTGCCCAACTTCTGCACAGAATATTTTATAACAAAATACCAGGTGATTCAAAAAGGACTTTAAACTTTGAAAGTGTATAGAAATTTATTCAGAAGGCTTACAGAATCGGTTAAGGTGTCATTTTGTAGCAAAACAAATCAAGTTTGACTCACGTTGTGCTGTAGTACCGAATTCCGTCACCGCGAGCGCAAGCGGCAGTGCATTTGAAAATGGCTCGAAAATTTTCTCATACCACAGTTAGACGAAGATGACCAAAAAGGACGCATTCACTTCCAGCAAGACGGCGCACCACCTCACTACCTCACAGAAGTCCGGGATTTCCTCAATAACCGTTTCCCAGGTCGGTGGATTGGTCGAACAGGGTCGATAGCATGGCCACCTCGTTCTCCAGATTTGACACCTCTCGATTTTTTCTTATGGGGTCTCATTAAAGATCGTGTGTATGTTCCACCCTTACCTGCCAATCTCACTGAGCTCAAAGCTCGAATCACCGTCGCAGTTGCAGAAGTGACACCGGATATGCTGGATCATGTTTGGCAAGAAATTGATTTCAGGTGGGATGTCTGCAGTATCACCAATGGCAATCACATTGAACCAAAACGACTGTTTGAGGTAAAACTTGATTTGTTTTGCTACAAAATGACACCTCAACCGATTCTGTAAGCCTTCTGAATAAATTTCTATACACTTTCAAAGTTGTGAAGTCCTTTTTGAATCACCCTGTGTTATAAAATGGGTTTCAAGTGCTGCACACTAATTAGTTCTAAATGGAAAACAATTTATACTGTCATACATGATATAAGTTGCTGACATAACTGATTGTACTGAAGATGGTCCCCTGATATCCTTCGCATCTTCAAGCCTTTCAATTCACATTCTGTATCTTCAAACACTCTCAATTCAATCTGAATTCCCCCAGGATACTCCAGTGCCAAAGCACCTTCTTCACTCTCTCCAGGGTCTCCACTTTCACCATGAGAAAATGTAAAACATTTTGGAGGAGCACGGGCATCTATAAGTCTTTTAACACGTCCTAAAATATCTGAGGCATTCAGCTGCGAACACACATCTGAAAGGGTCAGTTTAAATGAACCACTAGAAGTTTTTTGTAAGAGATCAGATGCTAAAACACTGCCTGTCAATGATACAGCATTATCTGACGACACAGACACATCTTTAAAGAGAATGTTTTTTCCATTCTCATACAGTACACTGCCCTCCTCTCTGTGGTTTCGATGAACTCGCTGAAAGTTCTCCATGTCATTAGATAAGGAATCTTCGCTTGAGTAGTGGTCTATGTTACGGGCATGTGCTGTGAAAAAATATGACGGTGGCAAGGTGTACCTTAGATCTGCATTATTTTGTTGAGCGTAAGCATCATGGTGTTCCTCAGATGACGTTCTGGAGTCAGCACTTCCGATTAAATTTTTTTGTGAAGAGCTGTGATGCATCGGACTTTCAAGACGATCAAATGAGTGTTCAGTTTCACTATTAACAGCATGCTGCAACTGTTCTCCAGCATCTTTATTAACGTGCTGCTGTTTCCCTATACCTCTCACTATAGAAGGCCTAGAAAAATCACAAGGCCCAGAAATGAGAAAAGAAGGCAAAATGGTGTTTGGCGGTGAATTGTGAAAATGAGAAGGAATCGTATTTGCAGATGGCGGAAAGTAAGATGATTCAGAATTCGATACTGAATCAGCTTCGTGGGAGAAAGAGTACAGGAATTTTTTTAAGGGTGCAGATATGTCTGGATGAGTGAAGGAATGGTGAGAAATCACTGAAGACAACACAGAATCCATATCTGATGGCACTGCACTTTCCACAATCATTCCATCCGCACCTCGATTATCATTCCCATCCGGATGCGCCAAGTCAGTACTGGAATTGCTCGAGGATGATGACGAACATGCCACCAATGTAACTTCTCCTCCCATCTCATCTGTTACAGATATCTGCGGATGATGCGGACTGTACAACTGCGCTTGACGAGACGCATTCATGAACTGTCGCCTATCCACAGTAATGTTTCCAACATGCATTCTTCCTTTCAAGATTGATTCGCCATCATCCAATTCAATACGATGGTTCAGATGGAAAACCGAGTTGTTCTCTTCCTGGATCATACCGAGTGCCGGCGAATTGGAAGGGGAATGTTGGACGGGCGTTGTGGCAGGTGAACGGTGATGCAGGTGAACTGTGTGGTGTGGGGAGGAAGACCCTGCAGACTGAACTCGCATATCAAGAGGCATGGCTGTTATTGATGCTGAAGCCAGATTCAGAACTCCACCACACGAACTACCATTACTATTTGAACTTGGAGTTCCTTGAGTGATAGAGCCAGTGTTCGTGGAGAGACCACTGAGGCCCTGAGTAATGGACGTTACACTGGTAGAGCCCACGGTACCCTCGGGTGTTGGGGAGCTGCGTGGAGAGGATGCAGAATGAGGCGAAGCATAGCCCTGTTGAAGAAACTGTTGGTAGAGCACTGAAGATTCTGCACTCAATGTTGGAGACTGATTTTGTGGAGGCGTGGACTGCTGCTGGTGTTGCTGTTGCAGATGTAACAGTTGAAAATGATGAGAAAGAGAGATGTTATTGGCTTCATTACAACTAGATGGTAAGAGATGGTGGTGGTGGTGATGCACTGGTGATCCTATAAAATACAAAAGTATGGTTCATATGTGGGATGTGAAGCTGAGAAAAAAATTATTGAGTCGTAAAACCATGTGGACTTGCAGGTAGATACCATCACAAAGGCAGCATGTTTCTTAGAAATGTTGGTATCTACCTACATGTAAAAAAATCCTTACTGAAGTTTTACCAGTCCTGAAACCAAGACTCTGGGATGGAACACTAGCCTCAACATCTACTATGAATTACAAAACATTTGGAACCTACCCATGCCAAAACTATTAAATGTGAGACTTCAGTAAAGCACTTATTAAGTACATAACAAGATCCAATTTTTATTAATTCTGTTTCTCAAAGTGCAGTACTTAAGCAGATTTAAAATGCAGCCAGCATGTAATACCAATTCTACATTACACATACCTGGTATGGATGAAGGGCTCTGGTTAGTGGGTGGGGAGGGAGATGGTGACATGTGAGGAGTTGTAAGGGGTGATAAGGTCCTCGTAGGAGTGCCGGTTCCCAACATATGTTGGATGTGAAGAGAGTGTCTCATCTGTAGCTCTGCCTGAGCTTGCGCATCAGTGATGCTTCCACTGTGTCTCTGCAATAAGAATCAGACAACACACTGTTTAAATACAAATAATAAAGTGTGGACACGTGCAACGTTTTCAATAAAGGTAATGCTTGTGTTCCTAAGCACCATCCCATGCATGGTAAGCATGCTCATTCCCTCTTTATTCCTTTAAAACACAGGGGGTTGGTTAATCCCACAGTAATTCTGGACATCTGAGATGAGGTTATCATGGTGGTGAAAATGTCTCGTGAGCATTGGTCGGTCACTCTTCACGGTGAGTCATTTGCGTTCAGCCTGATAAGGGAGTAAGGAAAAATGTGCTCAGTTTGCTTCTTGTTGACACATTGAATGTGCAGAAAATTGTGCTAAATGTGTTTGCGTTGTTCGACCACTATTCTGCAGTAGCAACTGTTTTATATTTATAAATTGTAGAAGAGCCACCATGTCTGGTAAGAGAAGTGAGTGTGTTGCTAAAAAGTTGCGTAGGTCTACTACGTTAGAAGATAAGATGGATTTAATTCGTAGAATAGAAGGTGGTGATACCTGTCGTAATGTGTGCAGAAGTATGAAGTAGCCTCCTTCCACGGTGACTACCATAATGAAACATTCGTACAAAATAAAAGTCAATGCAACAGGCTACGAGAGTAAGTGCAACGCAAGTGAGTTATAGGAGAAGTAAACTTTTAGAAAGAATGGAGAAATTACTGTTGCTATGGGTGGATGACATGAATCGAAAAAACATTCCCTCGACTGAAGTTGCTATCACGAATAAGGCAAAGTCAATTTTGAGGAACTTAAGTCGTCATTGTTTGGGTGCCGAGAATGCATGACATTGACTTCCCATTGATTTATATTATAAAAAGTTTCAATTTACACCGGTTCGTCCAGGAACGCATCCCCGGTGTAAATCGAGGTTTACCTGTAATTCGCTCAGTAACTCTGACCCACTGTACCTGCTGCAACTGATGGTATTCCTGTTGAAGAGCCTTCATATTGGCCTCTTTGTCTCCGACCGTAAACTGTGAATGAGGATGACTATGAAGGTGGTGTTGAGGACTGGAACGGTACTGCGACCCCAGACCTGTCGCACAACCCTCACTGGCTCGACGCACACGACTGTATGGTTCCAGTGGTAGATGTAGGCTGTTAACTTCCTTGAAGCTTTCTCGCCCTGTAACAAAGTCAGTAACAGTAAATAAACATCCTGGATTACAAGACAAGCATAGAAGTAACTGCAGATTAAAATAAATAATACACACACCCACCAAAATATTTAAAATTATTCAAGTTATATGCTCAAGTGGCAAAAACTTTCAGTAGAACTATGGCTCTGAAGGTAAAGAAGGAGAAACAGAGAAGAGTTTTTTTAAAAAAACATGTACTTCTATTCTCTTTCAAGATCAAATATGCTTTTAAGTTTAAAACAACTCAACTCAGAACCAACATGCAACATCTATCTTTCTGTAATGTTTACACGGCAAATTCAAAATAAAGTGCATTATATGTCATGCTAATATTGCAGCTAAACAAAATGTGCTACAGCATATTAATAACTGTTAATAAATGGCATAAACAGGAAACCAGACTATATAACTAAATTGTTGTTTCATGTGACTCAAAACAAACTCAAGAACAAAATCCTTTTGACACGTAAGTGGTAAAATACAGGTCTCTTTCACTGCCTCAATTTAAGACTATAAACATAAAATACATTAAATGACAAACAGGTGTTTCTGTTAAATAAAAGAAAAATATTTTGGCAAGAAATCTTCACCTTAAAAATCTGAATGATCTGTACTTGCTTCCTGTACAAACAAATGAAATATAGCATCCCACACAACGTGTAAGGTTTTTACAGTGGCAAGTGTGATGATGACAACGGTATTCTGGTCTGCACCATGCAGTCTCATCAACCCGATAATGGAGGAAGGAAGCACGTCTTAAGACACTGGTCAATTTCTATGAGACTACGTGGCACAACATCTGAATCAAGACAGCCATCATCATTTTACCTGTCAAACCATTAGATTTCAATTCCAAATGTGGCACTTCACCATGAATCAAAGGGGTATTAAAGTAAGGAATATGATCCTGCTCACTGTTCTACTTTGAGTTATATAAATGACATTTTTATATTACAGTGGTTTATTTTCTTCAACATGCATAGTATACATGAACTTATATTTATCCTGTATGATTATTCTTGTAATAATTGTTTATAAATTCAATGATTAACCCATGCACTTGAAATTTCCTCTTTTCAGACTTGAGTACGGAAATTTATTTTCTCTACTGAAACAGCATCAAAAGAAGCCTCTGAACTTTTCACTGCATTTTACAATTCGAGTCAAGACAATAAACAATTCACTTTTGAAATACGTCCCTGTACTTCGAATGTTTAAAGACAACTGATGGACTGGTGCGAGTAGATTACTACATAAAATGGTCTGTGTGTTAAAGCCAAGAGAACCTCACAGTCAGAATTAATATTCTCCATGCCAAGATTTGATTCCAGGAAGTCCCTAATCTGTAACATCAGTGGTAACCATTTGACCACAACACTCACTGAATTACAGGCAGTTTCAAAGAAGAGAGATTCAGCAGTTTGGTCACATGAAATGAACAGGAGAAATACTGCCCAATGGTAATAGAATTAAGCCTAAAAGGAGGAAACTGTTGGTACGGAAACGATGAGAGGACAAAGAAAGGGTGGCAACGAAACAAAATGGAAGTGAAGGCAACATTTATCTAAAGCTGAACCTTCGAAGGATATGAGCTATAGAGAAGGAAGAGGACGAGAGGAAGAAATCAGTGCTCGTTCATGCCCTCACAGAGCGATTTTCATCCATCATCGCACGAATATTCTCAGTGATACGGCACTCAGTCTGACCAGCATTACGATGACTGCAAAGTAGGTAACATATCTGATGATGTGCTTCCACACAGAAATGCCCGTACTCTTCTGAAAAGTAAATGCTCCTCCTATCATCATGCCATCAAACACACAACTCACCTTTCTAAAAATGTTGGTTTGAATTACATTTAAATATTTAACATTAATGTAACAGAAACAGAAGATTTAACTGTAATGTCACACAATCGTCTTAATATAAATACTTAATGTTACTTTACCTGTCACCAGCAAATCACTCCACGCACAGTAAAACCTTATGCAGTGTCCAAAGGACGTAAATTATAAATTCAAAGCCAAACTTACCTCTGCTATTATTTTCCTGAACAGTGGGTAAACCTGAGGGTTTCTTGGGCCTGGGATAAGCTTTACTGCGTGGCACAGTGACAGGGATGGTGCCTGCTGGGTGCAGGTTCGGGGGCGTGTACTGGCGGTTCATCCGAGCCTCCACTTCCATCACAAGTTCAGGGCTAATGACTGCCAGCCAGTAGCATCATGCAGTGTCACACAACGCAAACAACCAACCAACAACAACCAAAAACCGAGCGAGCCCAAAACAACCAGGTGACAGGTGCCGAAAAAAAAGATAAATACATAATCAAGGCAAAATTAAACACACACAACAACAAAATAATAAGTGCATGGATATCATCAAATGGACAACAACAATTCATTATTCAGGTCTACAAATCAACATTCTAGTTTTGGCAGTGATATGTAAGGAAGAGGATTACAGTTGAGATGACATGGCAAAAACATGAACGAGAAGTACAGGCATATTTTAACACACAAATTTAATTTTGGAAGAAATGTTCTTCCCATACATTAAGGTATAATTTAAGTAAATAAATAATGAAGGATATTAACAAAGCTGAATATAAGTAGATCTAAAAGGCTACCAATTTTGAAACATATACATAATGCATCAAATTGTCAAGTTCAGCAGTTTCATATTGGACTGGAGAAGCTAGAATTCCATACGTAAAATACAACACAATTAATTTTGCATGTATTTCTCATCTCCTCCATGTCCCACCATCCTAACCCTCCTTGATATGATCATTCTAATATTTGGTGAAATGTACAAATTATAAAGCTCCTCATTATGCAATTTGTTCTACCCTCTATTATTTAGTCATTCTTAGGTCCAAATGTTCTCAGCACCCTATTCTCAATCCCTCAATACACCAGTGAATAACTTCGGCTTTCTGGGTTTGGCTACATTGTGTTAAGGTGTCCAACTTTTTAGTAAACAATGCAGTTGCCACCTTTGGGATGACTTTGTGGGGGGGGGGGGGGGGG